CACAGGGACACCACGTGGGGGTGGGTAGCAGCCACACGCCAGGCCGCACGGGGGTCTTGGGATGGCTGTAAATGCAGACATTCACCCAGTTACTGTGCTCTCACCTGTATCAGGAAAAGAAGGGGTGCTTCCAACCTCACCCCGCCACCCACCTCCCTCCTGGCTGAGGTAAGCGAAGTCCCCGCAGTGACGCCGCAAACACCCGGGGACGGCCCCTCCCTCGGTCGCGGTGCTGTGGCCCCGGCCTCCCCAGTGTGAGCCCATCTCTCCCACTCTGCACGTCCTCTTTCCGTGCCACCTCCTCTCCTGCTGCGACCTCTACACCTGCAGGGGTCACTCCTACTCCAAAGTCCACTTTCACCGGCGCAGTAGGCACTGGGGCTTCTGCCCCTGGGCACACCTGGGATGCCTGGAGCCTCGCTGTGATGGCAGCACACACATCCCGTCTCCCACTGTGACCTTCTCAGGAGAGGAACTGGGCCGGGACTTAACCCTCACAATCACAGGCAGCAACTTTCAGAGCTTAAGTCACCCAGGGAAATTCCGTAGCCACGGAGCAAGTCACTCTGCGCCCCCTCCCCTGGCCCCGGAAACACCCATCTGTCCCTACGCATTTCACTATTTTCTATTCTCTTTTTAAATCTCACGGGTCTTGCTGGCCCCAGTGGGCAGGAAACAGGGATACAGCTGCACCCCCGGTGCACAGGGGACCCCACCCTGAGAGGGCCTGGCGCTAGGTGTCAGCCATTCTGGGGCTGAAGCCTGTGAGGGCGTCTTGCCTGAACAGTGTCCCCAGGGTCCCCTCCCCCAGTCTCCCCACTGGGTAAATAAAGACGGGGCAGGAGGTTTTTCTCACGTACCAGAGAGGAGCTGTTAAAACCTCAGCCCCAGGATGTCCAGAGCCCCTGTCCCACATCCTGTGCCTCCTCCGCACCAGGACAGCAGGGCAGGACCTCTCTGGGCTGGGGGTGGGCATGCCTTTCTGATCTTTGCAGGACACCAGCAGCTCCCCATCATGTGACAACAGCAAGTTCTCTCAGCACTGCCCACGGTCCCGAGGGCAGCAGTTCACACTCCAAGGACACCCACCTCAAAGGGGCTCTGGGCTGGTCCTCCTTTGCTTATGAAATAAATAAATCTCTCTGGGGAAATCTCTGCCGAGTTCCACTAAAACATATTTAAAGGGCTAGGGATGCAGCTCAGTGGTAGAGGTTCGCCCCGCGCACGAGGCCCTGGTATGATCCCCAGCACTGCAC